TTTAGACGAAAAGAAAGTGCTTTCGTGAGTATTTATAATCAGCGCACAGTAAACTTACTGGACGCCAATTTTTTTAGCAACCCGTTGTTTCCTGAGGAAGATCAGCTAGAAGTTCATTTTGACATTGAACAGATATTGGATTGGGTGAAAATAAATCACTGTAAAACTCTCTAGCCATTTGGCGCATTTCACACTGCTGTGTAGTTACGGTGCCGTCCGACCGCTCCAAGTGTGACATGATTTTCTTATTACCCTTATGTTTTTCGATATCAAAGAAAAATGACGACGGAGCGTCACTCATTAAGAATGTTATGACGTGACCTGACAGCAGCGCCTCTAGCTTCATTTGCTAGCAATTTATCAAGCAAACATTTTTTATCATTGAGCACATCATTGAGATTCGGGTTGTTGTGTAATAATTCTTTAATATTTTTAATTTCTTTACACAATGTATATTTCTGTTGCTTATACGAACTACTTATTTTACTACTATATTGCTTAGTAAGTTCTTTGAGATTCAATTTCCCAACATCCCACCATGATTGTAAAGACATAAATCGCGGCTTTGCATGGCGCAATTTTTCCCAGTAGTTACGCACAATGCCACAATAATCCTCGTCCTAAACACCACACCGGATTACGGTGTTTGGAGGATAAACGTAATTTTACCAAGGAATGATCAGATATATTGCCTTGTGGTTCAATTGTTGTAGAAATAATGCGCGATGTACTTGACTTTGATATGTAAAATGTATCAATTCGCGATTTACTAGTATTTCTGGACCATGTGTATTGTCTAGTCGTACTGTTATGAAAGCGCCATGCATCAACAAGTTTAAAGGAACGTACAATTGATTGTAATAGCCTAGATGAAGGCAAGTGAAGCTCCCGACTATCGCATCTATCCATATCGGGATTGATCGTACAATTGAAATCCCCGCCTAAGATTACGGGATCATCATTTAAGCCATTTAATACATTTTTAAGCCTTTGAAAGAACTCTGCTCTTTCAGTACTGTCTGTTGGAGCATAAATGTTGATAAGATGTACAGGAGAACCATTTACATTAATGTGGGCATGCAAAAGCCGTCCAGGGATGGCATCATTGACATGTAAAACATCATACTTTTATTAGGATTCAACAAAATTGCGATACCGGCGGAGTGTGAATCTCCGTGCGAAAATAGAATGGGGGCTCTCCAGACAAGTTGCCATACTGCTTCGTCTGATGAAACACTATGCGTTTCTTGTAAAAAAAATAAAAGTCACTCTGATGATTGATTTTTAAAAATTCGAAAATTTGGTATTTTTTCAAGGTGTCACGACATCCTCGAACATTCCAGATAAGAGCAGAAAAATCTGACATGACTTGGCTAAAAGAAGCAATCAATAGTAGCAGGCAACTCAAAATCAAATGATAGCGTGAGTTCATACTTTAAGACAATACAAACGTGTAGACAAAACAAAGGTAAGCAGCACCAGACAAAGCCTATCACGATCACGCGAGTTGCAGGTGCGTGTGGAAAATGAAAGTCTGAGTTCATTAAGATAGCTGATAAATTGGAGGTAAAAACGCGGTGAAACCGTAAACCGCTGGACATTAAAAATAAGTTAAACAAATGACGTTCCACAATGTAGAGAACAAAGAATATATTTCTTTCTTTTATTGTTTGCCTCTTTGTGACATTACATCGCATATTGGGTGTGAGTTCAGATGATAATGATACAACCTGACCAGAGTGAGAAACAGATTCTGTACTAGAACAGTAACCAAGCAAGTGACGCTTATTCACGGAGTGTGAATTATAAACCTTATTGTGAGACATAATTAAAACAAATAATTCAGTCAATTGAATCAAGATCAGATTGCGAGGAAATACCTCGCCGCTTATACATTATCTCCTGCTTTAAACAAGAGGGTTCGTTTATTACATCGCGTGCACTAGTACCCTCGGTCTGTTTTACATGATTCCAGATACGACTAGTCATGCGCTGTAGCCGTATCTTTTCGGAAGCGGAGAAGCTGGGGTTTTTACGATATTTGTTATAGATCGCGCAAGTAATCCAAGGTCCGGACAAAAGGCAGTTGCTTGCTCTATATGTTTTCTGGAGTTAAAACGTGTCCTTTACAAAACGTGCCAGTGCTACACTTGATATTTTTTTCTCTTTTGTTTCAGAAGTCGTTTCTTCCATACAGCCATGGAGCTAAAAAAAAGATTTTTTAGCTCCATGATACAGCTGACTGCAGACAAGTCAGACATATCTGACATGATTGACTCATTATCGTCTCTATCACCAGGTGACTCGATTCGCCCTTTATCAAATACGTCACCATCTCCCGAACCCGGCAAATTGTCAGATACAGAAAACCTGACGAAATCCTGAGGAGGGGAAAGAGAGAATGTAAAGTCTCCTGAAGGAGGTGGCTGAGAGTGAGGGGTTCGTACCCTCTCCTCATCTATTACAATATCTGACGTGCGTGAAAAATCATCATCGCTTTCATTAACCTTATTTGACTCATTAACATTACAATTACCAGCACGCGTGCCATCAGTTTGAACCTCAGTTACAGTACATTCATTTAAATAACAATTACCAGTAAGCGTGCCACCATCAGTATTATTTAATTCTTTTTCAACAGTATCGTTTAAATTGTTTTCGTTATCAATAGCATTATCAGTTTGCATTTCATGTGTGGTAGTATCATCGGTTTGGTTTAAGTTGAAATCCGTACTATTATTATCATTTTGAGTTTCAGTTTGCGAATTTTCAGTTTGATTATTTTGATCGGCAGATTGCGAATTTTCAGTTTGATTATTTTGATCGTCAGATTGTGAATTTTCAGTTTGATTATTTTCATCGGGTGATACACTGCTTGGTGCATTGTTTTGATCAACAGATTGCGAGTTTTCAGTTTGATTATTTTGATCGGGTGATACACAGCTTGGTGCATTGTTGATGGTAGCAGTGTGTGCAGACACGGTTATTATATTTTCACTGCAGTTGCGCTGAGTATGACCTTTTCTATGACATTTGTAACAAACGATTTCGCCCGTGGACAAATAAACACGGTACATTCGTTCTTCAAACATGACATTTATCACACCTTCAAGTTTATCGTGATCACATAACATATATACCTGCCTGCGAAAACTTTTCACATGCCTCAAGCTCGGGTTTTTACAGCCAAGTGGAATTATATTGACCTTACTGACTACTTTTCCATACCTTGACAATTGCTGATGCAACAAGTAGTCTGGTATGAAAGGAGGAACACCAGATAACACGACTTTTGTGGCAGGTTTAACCAGTGGTTGAACAGTAAGGAACTGGTTCTCAATGCTGCACCCAGTTACACAAACAGACTCCGCACAGTCAAGCGAGTTAAAAAACACAACAACGCTACCATTCGCACGAGAGGCAGCCACTACATTTTCAGGGCCAACCAATCCAGAAAAACTTTCAACATAGGTCTCAATTTTAACTCCGTCAACACACACTTGACACCATGCTTACGTGTCAACCCAACAAAGGGATTGACACGTGCACTCGCCAAGGCGGCGGCCATCTTGGCAAGCCCCTGACGAGTGACACAAAACACAAAAACTAAAAACCAACAGAAACACGGCAGATTTATGCCAAAAACGGCCAAAAAGACACCAAGTAGCACTATAAACTATTTACAAAGGATATAAAATCAAAACTAGTGAGCACTTATCTTGAACCAAGGTAAAAAATAGCAGTTTTTGCGGAGCTCGATGTAGGCACGTTCTGAGGAAACAACATACATACATACATAAACGATATGTTTTATTTTCTAAATAGTCACCACTCCGTGGCTTTAATTATAAACTGACACATATAAAATATTTACAAATTAAATAGTACTCAAACATAGATTCTTTCATACATTTCAAATATCTTTATATTTGATTGAAATCGAACATTGTAAATTGTATTTACTTGATCATTAATGTTATCAATTACAAAAGTTAGTTTATTATTGATTTGTTATATGTTTCTAATCAATATTGTGACATAGTTGTGTCCTCATCAGATATTCTTATTCCCACATAAGTTTTAAAGTTTCGTCCATTGGATGCCCCATGCTGTTAACAGCGAGTACCTAGAAACAAAATGAACCAAAACATTTCCATTAACCTCATTTGGTCAAGACCAATAAAAATCAGTTTACTCATTTGTAACAATCACATTTGTGACATAGTATATATATAGATTGTATATTCCTTGCGGATGACCTCTCAAAGTATTTCTGGTACT